CACGCTACTAGACAGCATCTAGCTGAAGTTTCCACGTGTTCCGGAAATGGACCGTGGAGTACGTAGAGTTATTGCCATAACCTACGATATCACACTTCGAGGCCTCCCGCGGGAGACCAACTTCAATGAGCTTCACAACGATCTCTCTCATGGATTAGTTTTCGTAGCTTTCTAATCTCTCTCATAACTTTCATTCTCTCAAACTCAAAACACTCGAAAGATCTTTACACTAGCTTTTAGCGTAGTGCATTTTGTTAACAAACACAATAGCTTTCAGCTACCCTCAACCTATTCCTTCACCATGAAGATTGCTCAAGGAAAGCATGCGTTCACCAACTTCGAGAAACAGTTGCGTGACAAACCCATTCTTCCTCTCGTCGACAATGATGAAGACGCCGAGATCGACGATTCTCGTGCAACCACCTACAAACTTCGCACCGTTCCTGCAGATGCAAACAGTGCCAAATACACCTTCAAAGTAGCCATCATCAATGGTTCCAACACTCCACGTCAGACCATCAAGTGGGCTACGAATATGGAGAAGGTCTTCGTTGGACTCAACCTTGCTAATGCCGACGACAAACATCGCCTTCTCAAGGAGATGACTTCCAGCTCTGCGAAGAGTGCCTACGAAGCTGGGCGTGCAGGCCATCGTGCCGTGCGTCATAACGCCCTACGACAAATTGCTGTGAACGCAGTTCCTCCACGCGATGTGACTTCTGGAGAAACCGAAGCAGCCTTCCAGGCTCGTGTCCAAGCCGCATGGGACGGTGCAGCGGAACCCACTCTAAGCGATGCTGACATCACCTTTGGAATCAACGCGGTTATCAAAGCAGCCTGTCCTTACAAGGCTCTCGAAAAACAGAAACGCTTCATGCGTCGCAAGATGCGTAAGCCTAGCGAGATGACAACTCGCGCCTACATCAACAACCTCACTCAGATGAACACCGATGAGCTTCCACGTTTGCCACCTTTTGGTGTCAATCAACAGTTGAACCAGGACGAATTCATCGACATCATCTGTCATGGCATTCCTCGTTCCTGGATGCGCAAGATGGACGAACACGACTTCGATCCTTTCACTGCCGAGATGACAGGCTCATGGATTCTGTGAGCGCATGGAATCCGCTGAAGACTTTGACAAAGGCATGATGCCAAGCAAGCTTCTTCGAAGAAGACAACAGCAAGAAGTACAAGTCTACTCGCAACAACGACCATTCTTCCAAGAGCGAAGAAAAGTGGTGTGATTACCACGAGTCAGCACTCACAATACTGCTGATTCCATGACTCTGAAGAAACTCAAAGCCAAGTCCTCGTCTGACAACGATAGCAAGCCAGCGTACAACAAGAACAAGACTTGGAAACGCAAGTCTGACGACGCCAAGTCTACACCAAGAAGGAACTTTCGGTCCTTATGAAGAAAGTCTCCAACGCTGCGGTCAAGGGATCGCAAGAAGAAAAGTGAATGCAACCATGTTGCCAACGCAAGTCGGACGACTCTGACAACGAGGAGACTCCTCTGTCGGGTCCCTCAACATGTGGACAAGAAAATGGCTGCATTCGACAAGGCTCTTGCCGACTTCGACTTCAATCATTCAGATGGAGAGATCTCCGTCTGAGGATTAGGCCAGGATGATGATTCAACGAAACTTTCCGATTTCTCATACCTAAGTGATGAAGATATCTCACTAACTAGTAAACAAGAATTGTTTGCAACTGATGAAGTCTACGGCAAATTAGATAATTGCCTAGAAACTGCTCAACTAGATTCTGACGATCTATCCAGATTGTTAACCTCGTCCGTGGCCAACCACCTCGTAAACTCGCAAGACAAGAGACCTCAAAACTATCGTTATGTTAGATTTAACAGACGAGAAAAAGGGAAACAAAAACCCATTACACTCCGTTGCTTACTGGATACAGAAGCATCCGGAACCTTGATTACCCAAATTCATGCTAAGAGATTAAGCTTGAAGGATCATGGGGGCGTCCAAACACTATGGACTACCCTGTAAAGGAATTAAACCCCAGCACGAAGTGTAAGGGTGCACTTATACTCCTGAGTTCCACGATATAGAATTATCGAATGGAACTCACGCCACCAAGAACTTGGGGGCGTATGACATGATCATAGGTCGAGACTTCTCTCCGATTATAGAATAAGTTCGATTTTACTACCATGTCAGCGATCTGGAATAGCACATCTTTCCCTATGAAAGATAGCAATACAACGAAGAAAGGAACTTTTCATCCCTGATCCTACAGCTGTCAGGACAGTAGATCGTCTCAGAGGACTCTTGACGCGAATACGAACAACCTGACTTTTTAAGGCAGATATGCCAGAGTCAAAACCAGGTAAATAAGGAAGAGCAGGAACCGCTTCATGCCTTATTGACCAAGTGCTCCACCAATTCGAAGATACTTTAGGAAAGCGACAGATGGACGACTACGAAGTAGAACTTCGTCCTGACGCTAACCCTATCACCTAGGGCCCTACTCCGCGTGTCCATACCAACACTCTTAAGACAGAGGTCGAACGTCTCTGCGACGCAGGAGCACTTAAGAAGGCAAACCGTTCCGAGTGGACGCACCAACATTTATCATTCCCAAAAAGAATGGACTATACGGTTCATCTCTGACGTCCGGGAACTGAGCAAAAGGATTGAGCAAAAACCTTGTCCGATCCCAGATACAAGACATGCTACTGATTCTAGACGGATTCAGGAAATACGAATACAACGAGTACCGATGGGCCTATGCAATAGCCGACATCTTCCAAAGGAGATGGGAACACTCATGCACGACTTGGAAAATGTCGTGCATACATTATGATCAACTCATCTAACTAACGCGATCTAGTAGATCACGTTGAATAGTTAGATGAAGTTCTCCTAAAGGCTTCGAGAAGCCGGACTTAAGATCAATGCTACCTAGTCCTTCTTCGAAAGAAGAGAACTTGAGTATCTAGGCTACTGATTACTTGAGAGGAATCCAACCCGTAACCAAGAAATAGATGCGATCCAGAACATGCTCCTCCTACGAACAGGAAGAAACTTGGTAGATTCATTGGACATAGTAACTACTATCGAGACATATGGATCAGACAATCACATGTACATACAACGTCGGGGATCCCAAGAAAAGGAATCCCTGTCCATTTCATTGCTTGACAATGATTGATTTGCGAGATGCTGCTCCAAGAAGCAGACGAAGTAGCCATCGTTCTAGAACAGACGTGGCTCCCCCAATATCCATGGCCTGCTGAGGTTATAATGATAGAGACGTGAGTTCCGCGCAGAAGTCGAGAAGACCTCCGGAATGAATGCGGACTTCGTCGCAAGTTCATTACCACGTGTTCAATCGTGACGCGATTCACAACGTCCGTTTCAAAGTAAACTGGAAACACATCAAAGAACGTCGCCAACGACTCATCCAGAAAAACAATGATAAGGGAAACGCGACCGTGTCCCTCATCAATACAATGTAAACGATACTGTGAGGTTTAAACAGTATCAGCACCGCAAGTACGGTCAGCCAAAGTACAAAGGTCCTTACAATATGGACCGAGTCAATAACATGGCACTGTATGGCTCCGACAGCTACCGCCAATGGCGGCACAGTCTACCAGACTTGGAACATAAGGTATTGCACCCATACAAGGCCTGATCCCTTGTAGGATTGCCATCGTGCGACGCACATGTCTAAATCCAATCTCCGAGAGTGCCCGCACTTTAATTCATATGTTCTCCTTGTCCGACTGATGTCGTGCCTTCTGTGACCCTTGTCAGGGGGCGAATGCAATACAACGGCTCTTAGCCTTATTCGCGACTCGATCCTAGATAGGGTTTGAGTTCGAGTCATGACGTAGTCCTTCGCGAATAGTCATTGAGACAGGGTTCTCATGACTGCTATTCATACTAGTTGTCGATGAAACTCGTTCTAGATATTTAGCCGGCATGGAAAGCTTCCACGCTACTAGACAGCTACTGCTGAAGTTTCCACGTGTTCGGAAATGGACCGTGGAGTACGTAGAGTTATTGCCATAACCTACGATATCACACTTCGAGGCCTCCCGCGGGAGACCAACTTCAATGAGCTTCACAACGATCTCTCTCATGGATTAGTTTTCGTAGCTTTCTAATCTCTCTCATAACTTTCATTCTCTCAAACTCAAAACACTCGAAAGATCTTTACACTAGCTTTTAGCGTAGTGCATGTGTTTTGTTATCTTGTTTGTGATCAGAGTGACTTTGGCTTCGCCGTTCGAGGACTTGACATTTTTGTTCGTTCCCAGGACTTTGTGAGTTTTGAGGACTTTGCGACTTTGCGATCTTTTGCTTGGATGACTTGGTTCTGTTCAGTGACCGATCGATTCGATCCTCTTGTTCGATTCGATCGAAAGATCGATCCTTCATTGATACCAGTGACGGTGTTCCAGTGATGTTCCAGTGAGCGAGCAGGTCGTTCGAAGGTCGAGAAAGGTAGAAACACCCACAAACATAAGGAAAGACAGGGTAACACATAGAGCCTGGTACTCCATGTACATGGTTGTATTCCTGGTTTGTCAGGGAGCAGATACATGTACCGTAGGATCCTACATAGGTTCAGTACCAGAGGCTACGTGTGACGTCACATGGTCTTTTAAATCTGCAGTGAAAAAGAATTCACTGAGGAGCGGGTGAAATCTTCAACCGTCCATAACTTCCCCAATAAGTACACTGTGACCTTGCGAATTTTGTGGCTCACTCAGCTTCATGTGCTCTGTCGATTCCACCTCTTAAAAGAGTACTATATTCGATATACAGCCCTAAAGAGAATATTCCGCGGAAAGGTTGGTCTTGATGTGCAGATCACTCTACGAGCTACCAGAGACCCTTGAGAATCAAGTTCATCAGTTAAATTTTGGTTAAGTACGATTAACCCTAACGAAACCCCTAACCACCTCGGTTCCCGTCAGTACTAGACTACGTGTACCGGTGCCAGGTTGCGAAAATGAACTGGATCTTTTTTCATTAAAGTTGGGACGTGCTAATCCCCTTTATAGTTAGTTATTTATTGCTTTCCCTTGTTGAGAGTTAGTTGAACTTTTAAAAACAGGGAAACAAACAAACATGGCGGACCAAGGCGACGACGGCAAGGGCATCGTCTTGGAATGCAACGAGGGCCCAGCTTGGTGGTTTCACACAATCGCATCAAAAAATGACGACATCATCAAGACGGAGGATCCGAAACGCCTGGCAGAGTTGCTGGGGGTGGCCCTGACCACAGAAGAAGAAACATCGCTCGATGCCATGATGATCCAGGCACTCAACAAGGTGGTGGAAACCAAAAAAGACAACTGGTGTAAGGTTTTGTGGGACTGCGAAAAAGGTGATGAACGACTCACAGCAGCCGCAATGGAGGCCACGGCGCTATACTATGTTGTCGACTGGCTCAAGCGTAACGAATCCTTGAAGTAAGTGAGATTCGATTCATTCGCATTCCATACTTATTCATTCTTCCTGCATTGTACTTGCTGAAGGAACCTTGATGAGAAAGCTACGTGTCTACAGCAAATCTTGGACTCTTTGGTGCCTAGTGTGCTGCATGGTATTCTAGACCCGGATGCAGCCACAAGAGCTACCTATTCAGGCGCAAGTTTGTTGGAAGTGAACATTGGTAAAATGGAAGAAAGCAGCTTCCCTGCAGCCATCATTCTCACGGGAATAAGAAAGAGTGCCACATCGGATGATATCATTAACGCGCTCGAGGAATTCGGAGTGATAAACGAGGTTGGTGTCGCCCTGAAAGGATATGGTAAGTCTGGGTCGCCTGCAAAGACCTCTCGTTTGAATCCGGACATGGACGACTTTGATTGTTTTGTTGGTAAGTCGCTTCAGCAGGAGGAAAGAGAAGAGAGAGGCTAACTGAGAAAAGGGATTGATTCTCACAGTGGGTGTTTCGTTGGCGAACCTAATAATTCAGGACTAAGTAAGTCTTTTCGGCAGGAGCAAATGGGGAAGCAGGCCAATGCGGGTGTATGTGGGTGTGTTATCTCACATTCGAGAACTCATTTCTTTTGTGCTTGCTATTTGAATACGGCATGGTTAGTCAAAAGAGATAATTGATCAGGATTCGGTAAGGTGTTGGGCAGGAGAAAGGGAAAAGAAAGAGGGAAACGCCGAAGAGTAAATAAATGTATGTGTTCTCACATTCACAGTGTCATGTTCTTGCTGCTTGTTTCTATTAGGAATGGTGCGATTCACGACCAAGGACGGTGTAAATAAGGTGTGGGAAGAGTATGTTTGCAGCGAAGTCGTGGTGCAGGACGTCGCTGCCAATGTGAGAAAGGTGTCTCTTCCAGCGTGGCAGGAGCCTCTTTGGTACAGTTGAGTTGCCCTTGAGTGCTCTGCCTGCTTGGCAGCCTTCGTCGTTGCAGTGTCAACCTCAATGGAGCAACGGGTATGATTATTATCATTGCGGCAGATCTCTTTGACGGGTCCTCTTTTTGCAGCTGGATTCTCCTCCGAGAGCATTGAAAACTTCCCTAGAATCCAGGTACAACCCCTTTTAGCTATAGATAACTAAAAGGTTACCAAGTATAGGTTGGAATAAAGCAAACCCAAGCTGATTGATCTGGGTCTGTCACCATCATCTGTTTGAAACCAGACTAAGCCTTGTTTCTCACATGATTTGGCAGGGGATGCAGTGTTGACGCTTTCATAGCTTGTATATTGGATTCCATTTCTTGTCCTTTGAGCAAAGAGGAACAGGCAGAATGCTTGCTGCTTCAAACGAGAAAAGTTGGCCAAAAACTCTCCATCCACTACTTCCTCCCCAAATGCCGTGAGGATTTCCATTGCCTGATTGACTGACAATTGCCGCATCGTTTCAACTTTGACCTGCCATCTATCATCTGTACTCGAATTTCCATCCGAATGGTTGGTTTTGCTCTCCGAATTGTCAAAGTCAGCTTCAGATATGACACCTCTCGTGCGCAGCAGTTCTTTGGCATGTTCCATATCCTTTGGATCTTGTAATGGCGTCAAGCACAAAGGAACGTCCAACGCGTAGTCCTGAAAGGATGCAAAGGTGCATTCTGTCGTCTCAAGAAGAGTGGCACATTGGTATGGTATCCCCTCTTTTTCCATGCTGTCTATTTGATACCCGACTTTTTCTGTCACCACTGTGTCATGCATCGCTTTCAACTCGATTCCACAACGTTGTTTCCAAGAGTGGTTCGTCGCCCGAAGATGAACCAAGGCTTCGAAATCGAGGAACGATACCATTTCTGTCAAGACATTTTCTGGGAGGCCGTCCATTATTGTTACCATTGCCATCAATAAATTTGGTCGAGCGCTCTTAGGCCAGAGGATGTGTGTCATACTGTTGGAAGTTGGAAGCAAGCAATAAAGAAGCAACAAAGATCCAAAGATCGCCAAGATGCCTTCTAACTAAGAAGTCTTGTGTCCTTCGCAGATGTCGTTTGAAGACAGCAGAGCCATTTGAAGATTTTGCTGCGACCTAGGCGACCTAGCTACTAGTAGGCGACCTAGCCAAGGGAATGACGAAGGCGGCGCGTCCTCCACACATGGTGCCTCCACAACAGCCAGCAGACACGCTGAGGTTGCGACTCGACTCATGTTGATTTCATTACTGTGAACTGTGGTAACATTGTTTATAAGAGAACAATGAGAGGCATCACAACATCATCAACCTCAGTGGGTGGTAGGAAGCAGATGCCCAACCGAATGACGAGAATCTTTCAAGAAATGAAGTCCAATTGTCCATCGCAACTGACCGCGTACGCGCAGTGTGTAATTCGAGAAGAAGGAGCTGGAAGTGTTGCCAAAGGTTGCTGTGAGGATGAATATGCAATGGTTAAAGACTGCTTTCGTCAGGCACGCCTACAACTGAGGTCGTAAGAATACATACAAGGATTTTATTGCCAACCGAAAGATCGAAATAACGAAGCCTAAGAAAGACTCTTCCAGATTTTGGGGCTTGCTAACGGTAGCTGTGTACCCTCAGATTGCTTTTCATTGGAAGATCAAAAAGGGCAATGAGTGGGCGTCCTTTAGAATGAGCTAGATCGACCCTCTAGCTAGTGTAACTAACGAAAATTGTTGGATACTATTAGATCTCTATGGTATGTAGCAACGAACCGCCACTAGCCAAGCTACTGTAGCAGTTCTATTACACATCTTGTTGAGTTACTCTTTGGATCTGCTGCATTTAAAAAAAATATGCCTCAGAAGGTCACTGGAGTGATCGCCTCAGATTGAATCAAGGGGCCAGGTTGAATGCCAAAGTTCATTGAGTCCAGCATGTTTGTGGGGGGTCAGCCACAGACTGTGGACAGGAGGATAAATGCAAGGAAAAAGATACTAGCTAGCTAATCGAGTTGATTCGCCAACCTTTCGATGTTCCAATTCTTTCCAAGCAGAGCGGATAAAAAGCCCAAGACGTTGCAGCTGCAAATGGCAACAAGTCATCAGGACAACTCAACCAAAACAAAAAAGATCCCCTGGCTACAGTAACGTCGATGCATCCAATTGTATTACCATTCACCTCGTCAATTTCATCATTTGGGTTTCTTCTGCCCAGTGACATAGTGAAAGTAGGCAGCCTGATCAGGTCGCCGAGAGCTTTGCTCTTTGACAGTGTCGATGACAATAGTGACAAACCCAGCCTCTTCAAGTAAGGCGTGTAGTTCCACAGCACTAAAGTGATGGGTCTGGTAAAGTATTTTGTTGTCTTGCTTGGAGTCTCTGGAAAAGTAAGTGTATGCTTCCCCAATGACTGGAGAGTCCTGCTCGTATAGTTTGGCATATTCTTCATTGATGGTATCCGAAATCCCAGAAGCCGACAGATATAGAAACCCGTTTGGTACCAGTAGATCCCAAGCATTGCGCAAAAGCCGTTGACGTTCTTCCACCCCCCCAATGACGGATATCACCAATTGGCAAACGACGAGATGGAAGTTGCTGCTGGTAAGGTCGGGTTTCAATGATGACGCCCCGGCAATATCGGCCACTTGAAAGGATAGATGATTGTTGGCGGTGGCATCCTTCTCCGCGGTATACTTCTGCTGTGCCGTCTGAATGGCATCGCTGTTAATGTCGAGTCCCAGAACCGTGTATCCTTTGGACGCCATTTCTGCCGAGAGTGTTCCATTGCCACAGCCCAAGTCGACTAGGCGACGATAGGGTGGATCTTGACTACTACCTGGATTTTGTAACAAAGGCGGATTCTCCTTCAAGAAGGCTTCCAGGGCATCCACTTTTGTCTTGGTAGGGATCGAATCAGCAGTGAAGGCTTGCCAGTCGGCCTGGAAGTTGCGCTTTTCGAGGGCTGACATCTTCTCCACACACTTTGCTCACCATAATAGGGGTCTTGCTTGGGTATGTAACAGTATCCTCGCATTGGCCGTTTGGATCTTGTTTGGGAGGAGCGGATCTTTTGTAAATCGATCGATTTGGAGCATTATAGCTCATCTCAGCCATACCAGTACCGGTACTTGGAGCATTAATTGATCAAAAGATTCAATCGCATGAATGAAAACAGGTTTGTCGAAGCAGGAAGAAGAAACCAAACTGCTCGGCAAATGAGTGGTCAAGGTCCAAGCAAGTCATCGAATCGGAGGCCACAGCAAGGATAGGCAACGATCTGGTTCCTCATCACATCACATGCGTGATGGCAACAATGAGACAAAGGTATAGGCAGATGCTGCTTCCTCGGATAATCCTGTTGTTGGCTCTGTTTGAGTGCTGCCACTCATTTCTGTCCACAAGTAGTAAAAGTGCCAGAGCACCAAGATCATTGCTCTACGCCGAACAACGCCCCGTGATTGCAGTGGTGGGTGGAGATTTGGCAGGGGTTGTGTCGGCTTGTACCATTGCTCAACATCAACAACAGCAGAAACACCAACCAGCCCAAGTGTGGCTCTTGACGGGACATGCACAGATCCTGGAGGGTTTGGTGGCTACGGCACCGATTCTACCAGATTTGACTCTGGATAATCGACAGCTGATTGAACGATTTGGAAGTGGAGGACGAGAGCTGGCGGGGATTTTGGCCAAGCAATGCACTCCTCTCAAAGCCAAGGAATGGCTAGAAGAACAGGGGGTCGTGTTACAAGAAGCAGGCGATGCCACTGGAACAGCGACTCTGGTGGGCGAGACAGCACTGAACGTTCATCCAAAATGTGATCTGAGGCAGAAATTAATGGACACTTTGGACACGTGTCAGGTGAAAGTCGAGACAAATGTTAAGGTCGCTTCTATATCCTACAATAAACCTGGATTCACTATTACGAGAGGTGACCAAGGGTCCAACTTGGAGGTGGATGTTGTCGTGCTGGCAGGAGATTATCAAGAGGTGCCCAACACTCCAATCTATGCCACCACTGGAAAGGGCAGCACGACTTCCGCCACATCGTCAAAGAAAAAGACCATCGATCTCGACTCCCTATTGGCGGAAATCGAGGACGAACCAATGTCGCTCAAGGACCAAATGAAGCTGGAAGAGAAACGAAAAGGCGACGCCAAAAAGAAAAAGATGGACTCGCTCATACACGCCAGCGGTGGTAGTGCCGACATGGAAAGTCTTTCCAAACAGGAGCAACGAACACTAGCCAAGAAACGGAAAAAGGAAGCCAAGATTCAAAAACAGCAACTGAAGCAATCCAAAAAGGGACCATCCGCGGGCTCGACAAGCAGTAGGGAGCTGTCGGATGATAGAGACGAATATTCTCCTGACAAAGAAGAAGACTCCGAGGAATTGCCCGCTATCGACAAAACCACTCGTTCTACAGCTGCTATCAACGCACTGGAACTGGCGACAGGGCTTGGACATGCCACCACAAAAGAATCTATCGGAATGTTCAGTTTCATGTTCCCCACGAGGGGTATCCTAGAGGGATGTGCCAAGGCCATTGTGCCCAAAGCCAGGCTGAGATGCAGACTTGACAACAACAGCGCAAAAGGACCCAATCGTCTTCCCAAATGGGAGGGCCCCCTCTTGGTGTCACAAGGGGAGATCGCTGGACCTGCCGCTTGGAGACTGTCAACTTTGATTGCCCAGGATATGGCTGCGGCAGGCAATCAAGGTACCGTTCAAATCCACTTTGCCCCAGACATTGGTGGCGTAGAAGAGGTCGAGGCGGCATTGATAGAATCGGCCAATCCAGTTGCTAGCGTGCTCAAAGCGCCCTGCCCTTTGTTGCATCGAGAGATTGATTATGACGATTATGACATGGAAACGGGAGACTTTAAAAGTATTGAGTTTCCGTTGGTGCCGAAGCGGCTATGGGGCAACTTGTGCCGACAAGCAGGAATTACCACAAACAAGCTGAAATGGAAAGACCTGCCTCCCGCCAATGTACAAGCTTTGGCACGTTTGTTGGTCGACAGTTCGCTGCCAATCACAGGAATCCGTCCACACGACAATGTATGGGCAGGTGGAGTAAGCTTGAAAGATATCAATATGGCTGAATGCCAGAGTCAAAACATCAAGGGGCTGTTCCTTTGTGGGTCTGCTATTGACGTGCATGGTTTCAATGGAGGCTTCAATGCACTTGCTTGCGTCGCTACAGGCTTTGTGGCAGCATCTCATATCATGAAGCTGGTTGGTGAAGATGAGAATGAAGGAGATGGAAGCCAACAATGAACAATCCACCCCGCTCTGAAATCTGCCCCACCAACCCACTAGGAACAACTCAAAAGAGGCCAAACAATTCACTTGCTATGATTTGGGTGATCTTCTTTCGATTCACGTCCTCTCGGCAGGAGCATCGTTGTCGTCGCAGCGCAGAAAGATTGTGTTGCCAGAAAATTGAAGAATGCGGTGATGATACCCGTATCGGCGGGTCCGTTGGTGCTTGCTTTCTCTCTTCACTTGCTGGCGATCAAGCTCCCTTTGTCGCGTGAGTTGTCGGCAGTCTTTTGCGGCCTGTTACCACTGGCACATCTGCTCCAAGCGCAGTTCAGGAGTTGTTAGTGATTGGCAGTCCTAGAAATTCCCAGAAACCTGTCCGACAAAAGCATGGAGTCCACTAGCTAGTGCGGGCGCTCGTCGTCCAGCTTTCAACTTAGTAGCTGGCTGATCTGACAGGTTCTCAATACAAGCGTTGAGCTACCCGTAGGTACTCTGTGGCTAAAAAAAGTAGCATTGCTACGGCAAGAGGAAAGATCCAAGACCGTCTACATCCAGGCAGCTGCACGGGTTGAAAGTAGTTGATCCAAGATACGGAATGAGAAGGGGGATCTGCAAGATGTCATCATGAGCCAACTTGCACACACAAAAAGGCTCGTAGAAGCAATTCAGATATCTTCAGGGTTACAGTTGGGTTGGCAGGAGAGTTCGTCGGTTCACTGGTGTCCATATCGATCTTGATTCACCGTGTTGTTGAACTTGGCACCCCAATCAATGAAGCGACCGACTTGTCGACCCATTCGTTTACTGAAGGAAGCCGATCCTCAGCTGCTACGTTTTTGCTTTTCTTTGTCTTCTTCTTCTTCCCCATCTTCTTGCGTTTGTCGCTCTCCTTTCTTTCCTGCTGTCGCGGCGTTGTTTCACGGCCTGTATCTGAAAATTCCCCTTCGTCTGATTCCTTGCTCCTGTTCTCAGTCCGTCTTGCTTTGCGCCTATCATGACTAAATTTATCTGAGCTATCGCATTCGACCCTGGAAGCACAGTGGCGCTTCTTTTCTCTTTTCTTGCTTTGCCCTGATGCGGCGGGCTCTTCACCGTCCTCGGAATCGTCCTGCATGGGGCTTCCACCGTGCCTCTCAATTTTCCTTTCTTTGCTTTCCCTAATGCGGCGGCGGGAGGCTTTTTGTCCTCTTCGGTATCATCCGGCATGGCGCTTCCACCAGGCGCCACCGTGTTTGCCAGAAGGCGGCGTAGGGTGAAGCCAATGTTGCTTTTTTGGGTATCCGTTGGTCCCACATGTTTTCCAGCTGCGTTAAGAACTTTTTTTTCACTCACTGCGCACCCCGCATGGATCGCAATGGCTTTTCCATGATCTTGACTGTTCACTAGTCCCGTTGGTTGCTTTTTGTCGAGAAGGAATATGATTGCACCCGAGCAACCCTTGTAGGTATTGATATCGTGTTCGATCACCCGACGGTCGTCAGAGATGCGAATGATTTCACCAGTATAAAAAGAAGCAGCATTGTCGGGTCCAAACACCCGGCGAATATCGTGTTCGGTGAACTTGTTCTTGTCCCAATCGTTCTCCGTCCACATGTCGTCGTTGCTAAAGTCGAACGCGCAGTTGCGAAATACCACCATGCCAATTTTCTGTCCCACCCTGGGCTCACATGCGGCCAATTCAAAGGAGAGGTCCGGGTCGGTAATTTCGTTCGTTCTTCTTCGTTCGACCTTCCCCACGCTGATATCGATCCCATACTTCCATGAGATAGCATTCACGCCATCGGTCGTTTCGCCGACGAGGTTGATGTTGATTCTGTCAGCTGACTGGACGTCTCCACCCTGGCCGCCAAACCCTTGACGCCTAACCACGGAAGGAGTCCAGCTTGGACATTCCTCGTCTCTGGATAGTTTTGGTCTTCCCTATCCAAAGGAACGTTTAAGGCGAAGGCTTTCTTGACAACAACACGTGCAAGTCTTTCGACATATCTTTGCTCTTAATACCACAAACCACGGCCGACTTGTTGCGATGCACAATACATTCAGCAACGCATTGAGATGCCCCCGTTCGAGAAGAGTGCGAGCTAGTAGCCGAGGTAGAATGCTTCGCCCCTCTTATCATCGTGGACAACCTTTTTTCCCTTCTTTTAGATTGTCTTCGCTGCGGCCGAGTGCTGGGGATCGACTCGACTCGACGCTGGCGAAACGCACATTCGAAACACACATCGAACGAGCCTGCCTGACCTCAGTCGTACCGGTACCGGTAACGGTACCTGAGTCCACTGGTGTTAGCCTGAGTCACGGGAGTGTCCCGGGTCCCGGGTATCCGTGAGATGTTTTAAGATCCAAGACTGTCTACATCCAGGCAGCTGCACGGGCTTAAAGTACATGTAGTAAAAAAGATCCAAGATACAGGATGAGAAGGGGGATCTGCAAGATGTCATCGTGAAGTCATGCAAATGAAGCCAACTTGCACCACAAAAAGGCTAGAAGCAATTCAGAGTAAGAAAACTCTTGGTCTCTATCATGCGTCTGCACACTGTTGGAACCCTCGCAATCCTTATCCTCGCGGCCTTCGAGTCCGTGAGCAGCTTTCAGGTGGGCGTTGGTAGGACCCATAAATCACTTTCGGTCGAACACAGTTTTCATGTTGTCACCCCTAAGGGACCCGAAGCCATCGGATCTACTACCTTGGCTGCTACCGCTGCGGAAACTCCAGCAGAGCCATGGACAAAGCCTCGTCTACACAACAATCCGCTAGTTAGGTCGGCCGTTCTATTGGCCGCCTTGATGTTAACGGGTATCTCGTCACCCTTCGGCAAGCTTCCTGCTGCCGCTATGGCGTCGGTGCATGTCCTTTCTTTTGGCACTTGGTTTGGCACGGTGTTTTACACAACGTTCATAGCAGGCCTCACCATGTTCAAGGCACTCCCTAGACAAACCTTTGGAAAGTTACAAAGCAAGCTCTTCCCCAAATACTTTGCGTTGAGCTCCCTGACTATTGTGCTACAGGTACGTTCATGTTCGACGGGGAATATGGCAATCACAAATGGCCAGCCAGAGTTTAGGCATTAATCTCTCCTTTTTTATATAGTTGATCACAGCTAGCCGTCTCCCAGGCATTGCAGCAGCCTCTTCACGTGCTCTTGGGGTATCCCTTGTCATGACCCTATTGAACCAATTCATCCTGGAACCCAAAAGTACCAAAGTCATGTTTGATCGCTATGAGTTCGAAAACTCGGATGACCCAGCAGCGCTCGAAACCGACGAATACAAGAAACTACGAGCTGGCTTCGGAAAGTTGCATGGGATGTCGTCTCTGACAAATTTGATTGCATTCGTTGGTGCAGTTGTTCATGGAGTCTTGCTTTCGTCTGCATTGGTAGCTCCTTAGTTTGTACGCCACCAGCGCTACAACCAGCCAGCCCTTTTCGCCTACAAGGCCACGAATAGATTGAAAGCTATTGCTGTTTTATTGAATTTAGAGTCATTCTACTACCAGGTAGCTAGTAACGAAAGCCGCTTAAAAATATCTATTGAGTGGCGTTCATTCATCCTCAGTAGGCTTGCCAGTGAAGCATGCCATCTCCCCACATGATTCTCGCCGCAATTACAGGACTCCAAAGCAAGTATTTGTTGATGCCTCTCCTTCGAAGTTGATAGATAATCCAAGCAGCCACAGTTGCATAGGCAAAATCAGGCCCTTTAGCAAAGCTACGGATTCCAACAATCCAAGGCATGATCAGTGTTGCAGTGTAACCAATATGGTATCCCCTAGCAGACAGCAGTCCTTTACGAACGAGTGTCATGAGCAAAGAAGCCATTTGGATGGCTAAAAGAACACTCAGTGGCCATCCAGGGTTACCAACAGCAAGGCAGGCCATTGTAGCCATAAATTGACAGTAGGCATAAAAGGACTTGAACCGCTTCTGTGTCTTCAGGGAGCAGCCATCCCAGTAAGGCATGGTGGCGGTTGTTGATTCCTTGTTGTTGACTCTCAAGTACTTGGTTCCAAGATCTGCAGTGATTTGGGCTCCAATGACTGCAGCAGCACTCCCAATGAGGGCAACACGGCGCCAAGTGGACGAATGATTGAAATAGAAGCTGGCCCATGCCAAGGCAGCAGTAATGACAGATCTCACCCCAAATGCAATATTGTGCACCCGGTATTCAGACCATATCATGGGCATTCCAACAACCCTCTCACGAGGCACAGTATGGAATATCAAGCTTGAAAGACTCAACATGGCATGAGGTAGCAGGCACAATGCGGGCCAAATGCTTGGTCCTTTACCCAGCCGTGTTCCCAAGCCACAAGATGGATCGCCAATGAACATTTGTCGGAACCGAAAAATAAAATGCATAAGGACAAACACTCCCAAGGACTTGTGCACTCCAATTGGATCCTCCTTTGTGAACAATTTTGCTATCCAGCGTGGTCTTTTCTTTGCCTGCAGCAATGATGATGGCCCTGCTGATGGGGGATTGGTGGGAGTACCAATGGCAAAATCCTTTAACATCTCAATGGCTCTTTGAGAATGTCCAGCTGCAAAGAACGCCTTGGTGGCATCTTTACCATGAAATTTTGAAAGAATCTTGTCTCCTCCTGGATGAGATTTAGCCCATGCAGTAAGATTGTAGCTCACACCATCAACCTGGATAATGCAAGGAGCCTGGACTGTTGAATCCCTAGATGCAGTCCTCTCAAAACGGTCTTCGGTACCCTTGTGCCAGTTGCTGTCAAATGCGATGGCAGCCACAGCCGTGCCCGATCTTGGAGATCCTGGTCCCAATGACACCGCATGACGACGAATGCTGTTGGATGGAACAAAACCATGGCTGAATTGCCTGATGCAGGCAAGCCACATCAATAGGAGATAGCTTTGGTGCACCATCGTCCTTTCTTTCCTGCTTTTCAGGCTGAGATTGAGAATCCACAGTTGAAAACTTTGAGGTTGTGTGCCCGGGGTTTCGAAGACCAAAGATTATGGGAAGATGGAAGATAGATGTGGAGGAGCCAGAGAGATGGATGATCGATGATCCATGAGTGGGAAGCCCACAATTTGGCTTCTCAATATTTCCGGAACCTGCGTCACATTATGATTGGCCCTTCAGCGAAAAAGAAGAAGCGGTTGGTTCGGGAATGCCTCAAACGCCAGATTTGGTACATGTAGAGTACCAAGAGTATGGTACAGCAGTTGATGAGAAGACGAGGATACGTATTGTGGCAGCACTATCAGAAAATCTGGTAAACGGTGAAGATCTTGGCATAGTCAAGCTTGAAGGCGTCAGATCACGAGCTGAAGAATCCATCTGATCTTGACAACCCCACAGGCGTTCTCAAGTGGACTAAAAGTACATGGTTCCCAGCTGGTTGCCATGGAATCTGCCTGAGAGTGAATCTATACCTGTAACTGCCTAGCTAGCTGGGTCGTAAGTTCACGACTACACTACTGGTAAAAAGGGGGACAGGCAGAAGCAGTCATCTCGCAACTTTGGCTGGCGTCCATGCATCCGGATGTACTTCGCCGCTTTCTGATATCAGCAATCCTATTGAGTGACCATGATCGGAATCCTTGCCACAATGATACATCCTCAACGATCCATCTGGCATAGAGATCAGGTAGGGCGTGCCAATGATGAGCGAGGTCCACGGTCCCAAGGAACCTTTTCCAGGTACTGCAACGGGGCCACCTGCCTGGCTGCATCCCTTCAAGTCACTAATTTTCCCCCATTTTCCACCACCGTTCGGATCCGAGCAATAGGCAGCACCAAGACTATGCTTTGAGCTTTTGTCGACACCTTCATATATCATGAGAGCCCCGCCTTTCCAGGGGTTCACAACAGCCCTGGTACCAATGCCAAAACAATCAAAGCTTTCTGGATCTGATCCTCCTTCTAGGAGCAGGCCTCCACCCTCCAGCAAGCAATCTCGACACCGTTGCTGCATTGCAGGGTTTTACCGGACAAAACAAAAAGGCCAGATCCAAAAGATCCAAGGCCCACGCTTGAATGACGATAACGGTACAGTAGTCTCGTTAGAGTTAGAGGTACCGTACGACTTTGGCTCACTCGCTGTTTCAGACTTGCAAGATCGCCACATCGCCAGCACTACTAGCTAGAGCTAGCTCTAGCTAGTACTGTGCAGTTGTAGTCGGTAGGAGCTTTGGTGGCACGGTAGCTTACCACCAGGTATCAGCTCGAGCGACTATCAAGTGAGATGGACATGGACGATGGCTTCAGCAACATGCCAATGCGGAAAGGTGGCGATTCAATTCACCAGCAGCAAGCCTAGAGTTTCTACCGAGTGCTGCTGTGATTCCTGTTTCAATCGAGTGGGGTTTCTCGCGGATCGAAGAAGAAGAGGTTCATCGTCACCCGAAGATACCAGCAACAGCGGGAAACCCATTGTCAACATGAAATGGGACAACCGTGTCACAATTGTCAGGGGACGAGACCAACTGTTTGCCTACAAGTTGACGCCAGAAACCAAAGTATTCAATATTGCCACCAAATGTTGTCACTCATTCTTGTTCGGCCGCAATGATACCTATGATGCCCACTGCTTGACAACCAACGAAGCGGATCTAGTGTGGGGAGACCAGTACCAACGGATCCAGCCATCTTCTAGATGGTTCGTGAACCAATGGACTGATGCGCGTCGAGCCACGTTGGAGCCTCTCATGGGAATATGGGTAGATTCAGAAGGGAATCTAGACGGAGAGAAAGGGTGGGAAGCAGTATTTGAGAATCACCTTGCAGCCATGAATGCACCCATCCTAAAAGACGCTGTAGGAGAAACCTTTGATGAGATTCTCCAATCACTGGGGCGCATTGAGATTGTTTCGGAGCTCGATAAGTAGCCATCCAGTAGTTGCAATCCAAAAGCGTACAGTGGTACCACAAGTCCAATAACAGCAAGTGTTCCGCATGGGCACATGGAAATTATTTTGCAATGTTATGTTATTACGTGTATTATTATGTACTGTTACAGTTCCTTTCCAATACTTTCTAGCTAGCTTGTCCTCTATCCTCTATGGACGTGGTACCGGTATATTCATAGCAGCGCTCCATCCCCCATGCACGTACGTTTTTAGCCCGCCAACTTGGCGCACAAAAAGGCATTCCACAGAACACCCACCACATTGTTTACGAGGACCCGTAGTTGTACTGGAACATAGTTGAAGCTGATCCAGTTGATGGCGGGCCAGAAGTAGTAGTTGGTCATGAGTACGGGTCCAAAGCTCTCGGCAACTTTGGCGGAAGCAGCCGACATGATGGGCACTATTATTTGAAGAAGAGCAAAACAGCGAAAGATGAGCGAGGAAAATGAAGATGAAAAAGGAAGATGGCAGACCATGAACGGGCCGAATGATACTTACATCTGAAGCTAACAAGTGCATCAATAATCTCGTACACGTAAAAGTAGGTGGAGAAGAAGATGACAACGCCAATG